GTAGTAAGCGCACATAGCCGTAAGAGTAGAGTGCGAGGTACGTCGTGAGTAGAAGACGATATGCAGCAGCGAACGAGCTCATGTTGACCCGCGGCTGACAGGACCTTGGTTGGCGCAACGCTGCTGGGCGAGATGGCTCGATCGTGTACACACTACAGACTGAGGTGACTCGAAAACTCTTTGGTCGCCGCTCGTGACTGCATGTGTACAACCACTAGACTACTTATTATACAGCAGCAGCATCGCTACTCTTGACTGTACACGACACGATCTGAGCGATCGAAAGAAGGCGTGACGGTGCTGCTAATGCTACCACCACTGCTGATGTGTCGGTCGCTCCATCCCAACTCGTTGCGGAGCTCGAGACGGCTGGATTGATCTGCGTGTCCTTGACGGCACGATCGGCTCCGCGACGGCCGTTCGCTCCAACGCTGGCTAGCAGGCATTCCAGCCCAGCCATGGATGTACAGTACAATCTCCTACTGTACATACGACATGCAGCTGTCGTGAGCGCAAAAGTTTCAGCTGCTGCACATAGCCAACCCACGCAGCGTACCCACAGCGGACCGTGGTCCCGCCGGCCCTCCTAGCTCCTTTGGCGACAAGGCACCCGCAACGTGAGGCTGGTTGTACTTTCTCGCCCAAAAGCTCATCAGAATGAGATCGTCCCAACACGCACAATCCCAAGCAACAAGACGACGCGGCCTCGACCCAAGATACCTTCGATGTCCCAATTGGCCGGAAGCACACGCGTATGCGTGTGTCTAGATGCTGCAGACGCTGCAATCGCAGCATTAATTACCTGCATTTCATAGGTCGTCATGGCTAAAAGCTCATCAGACTTCGCACGGGGCATCGATTTGGATCTCAAATTCTGCAAGTCTTCGCCGGGCTGCATAAAGCTGCAGCCACGGCCAAGCAGACAGCCATCAGGCACCCGACGCAGCTAGCGGAGTGCCATAGCGCTGTAAATGCACCAAATTCCTGGCTGCTGCATGCTGAGTCTTCAAGACCACTTAGATTCGGTTTCACGATCATGACTTCGAGTGAGTATTTTGCCATCATCTTCGGTGTCCGAAGGGTCTATTTTGAGAGCTGTGACTTCGTGCGCGGCACCCAGCCAGCCCGAAATTGTTGAGCGGACGTATACAGAGGCTATACGGGCACCCGATCCCGACACAGGTTCCAATCCACGATTGTGCCGATTGATGGCTCTCGATCCCAGACCGCCCTTTGCGATGCCTGATTTCTTGGTCCGCCATGTTCAGCCGAGGAGGGGCTGATGAGGGGCAAATGGACGAAGTTGCATCACGCATCCAGTGGTTCGAATGGCGCGCCCGCGGCAGCGTCGCTCGTGCTCTGAAAGCCTGGGAAAAATCAC